TCAATTTACCAGTTCAAATGCTATTCTTTTCTGGAAGAGGATAGCATATGACACACCTAGAAATAATATCTTACTCGCTATCTAGGCATCCCTTAGCCCAGTGAAGCTGACACATAAAATTGAACCATCATATCCCCTCAGAACCTATTAATGTCAACTAATCTGTTAGACTAAGAGTCATGGTAATGTCTTATAGGGCTGGTAGGAATCAGTCATCTGCTAAGTCCCCTGGTAACCAAGGCCCAGAGCAGGAGGTGATTTGCCTGTAGCCACTCCACAATTTGGCAACAGAGTCAGAATCTAAATCCAGGTTTCCCTGTTCCCAGACTCCTTCTACTAGACCAGCCGTTCTCACCTCTTGCTGTGCATGAAGATTGCCTGGGGGGCTTTGTAAAGTATTGTATCTGGGCTTCACATCCCCAGAGAGGATTCAATCTGTCTAGAGTGGCATCCAGACATCACTAATTTTTTAAAAGATTTTTATCAAAGTATGCTATGGAAGTATGGTCTGAATGTGTCCCCATAAAATTAATATGTTGAAATGTAATCACTAATGTGACAGTATTAAGAGGTGGGGCCTTTAGAAGTGATTAAATCATGAGGGCAGAGCCCTAATGAATGGGCTTAGTCACTGTTATAGTTTGGATGTTTGTCCCCCAAAATCTAATGTTGAAACTTGATCCCCAGTGTTGGAGGTGGGGCCTAATGGGAGGTGTTTAGGTCGTAAGGTTCTCACTCTATTAGGTACCACAAGAGCTGATGGTTAAAAAGAGCCTGGCCCCTCCCCCTCTCTCTTGCTTCCTCTCTCACCATGTGATCTCTGCACATACTGGCTCCCCTTCGCCTTCCCCCAGGAGTGGAAGCAACTTGAGGCCTCACCAGATGCAGATGCTGGTGCCATGGTTTCTTGTACAGCCTGTAGAACTGTGAGCCAAATAAACTTCTTTTCTTTACAAATTACCCAGCCTTAGGCAACAATAAATGGACTAAGACAGTAACCCTATAAAAGAGGCCTAAGGGAGCTGTTTGCCCCTTTGTCCCTGTGAAGACACAGAAAAGGCATTTATGAGGAACAGGCCCTCACCAATACTGAATCTGTCAGCACCCTGATCTTAGACTTCTCAGCCCCCAGAACTGTAAGAAATAAATTTCTATTGTTTAAAAACTACCCTGTCTAAAGTAGTTTGTTAGAGCAGCCCAGACTAAGCTAAAGCATAACATATATACAGAAAAGTGAATTATAAATGTACACATTAATGAATTTTCATACTCATGAATCCAGATCAAGAAACAAAAGATCTCCAGAACCTAAAACTCACACCAAAGATAATCATTACCCTGATTTCCAATATATAGATTACTTTTGTCTCTTTTTGTACCTTATATAAATAGAATATACAAAATGTCCTATTTTACATCTGATTTCTTTTGCCAAAAACTGTCTGTGAGATTCATCCACATTGTTTGGTGTGGTCATAGTTTTTTCACTCTTACTGCAGTGTAATATTCCATTGTGTGAATACACCACAATTTGTGTATCTGCTCCACTGTTGATGGACATTTGGGTAGTTTCCAGCTTGGGACTATTACAAATGGTATATATTCCAGTAGATATATTTTGATGAACATCTTATATGCATTTCTTTTGAATAAATACTTGGGAATGGAATTTCAGGTGACTGCATATGCCTACATTCTTCTTTAGCAGATATTGTGAAACAGTTACCTAAAGTGACTGTACAAATTATACCCCCTACACTAGAATTGTGTGAGAGTTCCAGTTATTCCACATCTTCACCAACATTTGCTATCATCAATTTTATTGTTAAGCCATTCTGGTGACTGTGTGAAGATATTATCTTGTTTTCAGTTCCCCTGATGATTCTAATGAATAACAAAGGATCAGAGCCTCAGCTTTATCCCTACACTCATGATCACTTGGGGCTTATGAAGATAATGCTCTTCTTTTTTTATCTAACTCAGTGCTTCATGATATTCTACAGGCCAACCCAAAGTGTTAGGCCATGAAAATACTTTTTAAAAATCTTTTTTTATGCAAAAATTAGTTGGTAGATAACATGTTACTTAAAGTTGTCCAATGAATTTTTCTTATATTTTTGGCATGCATGGCTGCTTTCCACTAGTGAATGCTAAAAGTCAACAGAATAAGCAAGTAACAAATGAAACAATAGCATCTTCCAATCCCTCACATAGAATTCAAGAATATGTCTTTTGCTTCTGTAAAATCTTTTTTGGAAACCAGAAACATTTCCTGCTAAGAATACAAGTTCCTCTGTGCCTAAGAGTCCTAATGTCCTTCATCCTGCTCTTTATGTGCCATGTGATCCTCTGCCGACTATAATCAATTATAGTTGTAAACACCTGACCCAAGCTGGGCCAATCTGATTCTCTTTCTATCTCTCTCAGAAATTTAGAATTAAGACTTAGGGGCTGATTCAATTATTTGGAGCCATACAAATGTGTGAAAATGGAACTAGTATTGGCAATGAGTTAGCTGAAAGCCAGATAAAAAGCAAGTATGACATTAGCACGAACAGAGCTAGGGTTGTATAGCTATAAGACAGTTTGAGAGAAAAATTAAATATGGGTTGCACAAAATAATTTCAATCTCAAAAATCCAAATTATTTTCGTTCTCTGGTACCAGTGAGGACTAAAGGAGATGGATGCCTGCCACCTCTTGTCATTAAATGAGAAAGACATGGAGTCTGAAATAGACGACCAGACTCAGAAAAAAGAAGCCTCTTAGCATGTGAAGGAGAATAGTCCCCAAAAGGTCTTCTTGGATAAAGATGATAAATAGAAATTAATGGTTCAGACTCCACTGATACTAATTTATCATGCGTCAAATATTGATTTTGTCATTATATGTTGCACCATCTTTGTGGTCTGTTTTAATGCATGTAAGATTATAAGCTTTCATCAGTTCATCTGTAATCGTTGTCCATTTAATATATATATTTTTCCTATACAGTTTTAAATTCTCCAATCACATAGCTCTTTGGTACAAGACTTCCAGACTTAGAGATGAGTCATATAGCACTTTGGGAAGCCAAGGTGGGCGGATCACTTGAGGTCAGGAGTTCGAGACCAACCAACATGGTGAAACCCTGTCTTTACTAAAAATACAAAAATTGGCTGGCCGTGGTGGTGCAGGCCTGTAGCCCCAGCTACTCAGGAGGCTGAGGCAGGAGAATTGCTTTAACCCAGGAGGCAGAGGTTGCAATGACCTGAGATCATGCCACTGCACTCCGGCCCATGTGACAGAGCAAGACTGTCTGAGAAGGAAAGGAAAGGGAAGGGAAGGGAAGGGAAGAGAAGGGAAGGAAAGGTTATGACAAAATCTACAATGTCCCATTTAACAGCTCATTGGTTTATTTTTGATAAATGTCTGTATCAGTTAGGATAGGCTAGGTTTTGCTGTGGTAACAAAACTCCAAAATATAACTTAAACAAACAAAAACGTATTTCTTGTCCACACTGTATGTTTGATGTGGGTTGGCAGAAGGGTTGTACCCCTCATAGCAACCCTGGGACTCCAGCAAACAGAGACTCCACCTCCTGGTGGACTTTCACGAATACAGCACCATAGGGAAGGGGATGAAGATGATCATACACTGACTTTGAAAGCTTCCACTTAGATTTCTTTGTCTAAAACATGTTATGTGACCATGCCTTATCAAAGGATACAGAGAGCCAAAATATGTACAACTAGTCTTAGCAACTAACATAGTATGTGTAATTTACGATGTTCTACTGTGTGCTTATCATACTTGGTAAGTTGCTTCTCATTTGTGTGATGGAATTAAGTCACTCAAGAATTCTTTCCTCAGCTACACTGGCACCTGAGTTCATTTGAAAACTGCTGGCCTAACCCATAGTGGGAATTCCAGTTAGATAAGAATTTACTGGGGTCTGGCTGAGGCCCACACACATCACGCCACACAGGCAACTCCCTCTACCAGACCTGAGGCCAGTCATCTTTCCACACCATAGTGTCACTGGAATATTGGAAATCTGGACACTAGCTTGAGTTTTGGAGGGGTCGAAACTGCAAAAATGAAGCAAAACAAGTAGTCTGCTCTAAGGGGAAAGAATCTAACATGGTGTTTAGGGTCTTGTTTAACCTAGAATACCTTGGTATCACCACACCCTGTCAGGGAGAACGCATGGTGTTATGTCATGAATGAGTTGTGAGTCTTTAAAAAGCCATCATTCTTTCCTGAGCTATAAAATAAACAGGTCAGAAAAGAACAGCAATTTTTATTTTTTTATTTTATTTTTTTTTGAGACAGTGTTTTACTCTGTCACCCAGGCTAGCATGCAGAGGCATGATCCTAGCTCGCTGTAACCTCTGCTTCCCAGGCTCAAGCGAGTCTCCCACTCAGCCTCCTGAGTAGCTGGGACTACAGGCGCGCACCACCATGCTTGGCTATTTTTTTTTAAATTGTTGGTAGAGATGTGGTCTCACTATATTGCCCAGGCTGGTCTCAAACTCCCAGGACCAAGTGATCCTCCTGCCTCAGCCTCTGAAAGTGCTGGGATTACAGGCATGAGCCACTGTACTGGGCCAGAAGAGCAATTTTTAAGTGCAAGAACTTTTACAGAAATCAATCACATTTACAGTCCCATGTATAAGACAGATACAAAGGGATGCCAGAATGGGAGACCAGCCCCACATCCTCATAGACCTCACACTAAATGGCATTCCCTAAAACACCTTCACATAGATTCTGTAGAGCTCCAGGGAACTTGGTTTTAAAATGTCAGGATTATGCAACCTCTAAGATCTTTTCCTGTGACTCCGTTGTTCTAGCTTTAATGCCAGCATTTCCTGGTTCCAAATCCAAAGAAACAGTGAATATGCACAATGCTCCTTCCCTGGCCCCAGGCTGAGCCCTGCCTGGGCCCAGTCCCATCACTCCTCCATGGCACCAAACACCCCTCCCTGGCCTACTCCCCAAGTGTTGAAAATCTTTACCATTTGCAGTCCCAAAGATTCATGCTCAGGACTGTCAACAGCACCGGCATCCTTTGCCTCTGTTTGAGAAAGAGCAAGCCATGTCTGTGCCTTGGAAATCTCACAGGTCAATGCCCTTCTTCTGTGCCCTGGCTCCGTTCCTCTTCTCTCATCAAGGGCTGTTTTTCGTCATCCGAGTGTCATAAGGGTGGTGAGTTGCAGGGGAAGGAGGCTCTCATCCTGTCCAAGAACCCCTTGGTAATTCTCCAGGTAATTAATGAGGACTCTGGGGGACACTGGGAACGCCTTTGGAATGTTAAACAAAGTGGTTTTTATTCTGGCTGCCTTGCTGCGGCTTCTTCCACATAATGAAGGGGCCAATTGTGCTGTTGGTGGGTGTATTCGAACCGCCCTCTGCCACCAAGGCCCTAGGCTTTCCTTTGGCTTGTTGAGTTGGTCTCATGTCAGGGTGTTTATGGCAGAAGAGGGACAAGACCTTTATTTTAAGACTCATAACAACCAAGAACACCTTTTCCATCATCAGCATTTAAAATGCTGTATTATTTGCCAATAAGCCCTGTCTTTATCTAGGTCACTTGCTTTGTCTTTAACCTGAGCCATTCTCTAGCTTCTTGCTACTCTAAGAGTGGTTTGGACCATAGGAATCACCTGGCAACTTGCTAGAAAGGCAGAACCTCAGGCCCCTCTCCAGACAGACTGGATCAGAATTTAATAAGATCCCCAGGTCACTGCTCTAGTCTAGACAACTACTGAAGTTTGAGTGACTTGGTCAATGGCCACAGCCCAGGTGTCTTGGAGACGCACATTGTTTGTCAGAGAGCACTGGGCTAGGAGTCAGGATACCTGGCTTTCCATTCTGAGTCGGCCACTAACTCTCTGAGTGGCCTTGTCTAAATCACTTATCCACTCTGGGATCGTGGATGAGCTGGACTCCTGGCTCCTCAAGTGCTTGCTCTCACAACAGAATACAGAAAGGTATGCTTTCTCCTGCATGCCGATGACATGATTTGATTGCCAAACACTTAACAGACAATTGTCCCTGAGATCTAATTTCTCTCAGGAGCTTCAGAGCAGCTACCATAGCTTTTTGTTTTGTCAACTGTCTCCCGGCGTTTCATTGTTTTATCAGATTCAGTGTCTCTCTATGGCAACTCACTTTGTTACATTCCCTGGGGGGATCTGTTTGCACTTTAGTTTTTTCAGTTTCCGAAAGATAAGTCATCATATCTGCCTTGCTTATCACACAGGGCCGTGCTGAGAAGCCACTGAGACAGCACCTTAAAAAGTATGAGGTGCTGTCACATATAGTGCAAATTGACAGTCTTTCTGGGAAGGCCATTTAGGGACATGAGTTTTTTTAACCTTTAAAATATGTACACCCTTTCCAGAAAAATCATCTGATAAGCCCTGGGGAAAAAAATCATGGATGAGTGCAAAGGCTATTAATTGCCACAGCATTATTAGTAATGGTGGAAAAAGTTTATACAACCCAAATGTCCAATAACAGGAAATCGGGTAAATAAACTAGTAAATGATGATGTCCCATAACATAGAATTCTATGAGCCATTAAAAATGATGTTGAAGGCCGGGCGCGGTGGCTCACACCTGTAATCCCAGCACTTTGGGAGGCTGAGGCAGGCAGGTCACGAGGTCAGGAGACCGAGACCATCCTGGCTAACATGGTGAAACCCCGTCTCTACTAAAAATACAAAAAATTGTCTGGGCTTGGTCGCGTGCGCCTGTAGTCCCAGCTACTTGGGAAGCTGAGGCAGGAGAATGGTGTACACCCAGGAGGCGGAGCTTGCAGTGAGCTGAGATTGGGCCACTGCACTACAGCCGGGTCAACAGAGCGAGACTCCGTCTCAAAAAATAAATAAATAAATATGATGTTGAAGATGAGTACTGAAAGATGTGGAAAGCCATTGGTGATTGGCTTTCCAATCCATTCCAAACTGGAATGGATTGTGATCACATTCCAGTTTGAGAATAAAGTGTATAAATATGTACAGGAAAGGGGTTGAAAGCATCCACATTGTTTGTTAATACTGATGATACACTGTTGATTATAGTTAGTTTTATTTTCCTCTATATTTTTCATAATGAGAGTGCAATACAATTTTCAAAAGGAAAACATGTTTTTGAAGAAGGAAGGTATAGCAGCATTTCTTAAAAATTAGAAGCACTCCAGCCTGGCCAACGTGGTGAAACCCTGTCTCTACTAAAAATACAAAAATTAGCCAGTCATGGTGGCAGGTGCCTGTAGTTCCAGCTACTCAGGTGGCTGGGGCAGGAGAATCTTTGTTTTTTTTTGAGACAGAGTCTTGTTCTGTCTCCAGGTTGGAGTTCTGTGGCATGATCTCAGCTCACTGCAACCTCCAACTCCCTGGTTCAAGCGATTCTCCTACCTCAGCTTCCCGAGTAGCTGGGATTACACGCCCAGCTAATTTTTGTGTTCTTAGTAGAGACGGGGTTTCACCATGTGGGCCAGGATGGTCTTGATCTCCTGACCTCTTGATCTGCCCACCTCGGCCTCCCAAAGTGTTGGGATTACAGGCATGAGCCACCACGCCCAGCCAGGAGAATCTTTTGAACCCAGGAGGTGGAGGTTGCAGTGAGCCAAGATCACGCCACTGCACTCCAGCCTGGGCAACAGAGTGAGACTCTGTCTCAGAAAAAAAAAAAAAAAAAATTAGAAGCACTGTTTTTAGCATCACTTTACTCATCAGTGAAGAAAGCCCCCTCTGGCTGGGGAGGAGGGGAGCCAAAAGACAGAATTTCACATTGGCCATACTGCTGTCCTCACACCCACCATGTGAGCAGACTTTATATGGTACCCCACAGCATCTGCAGGTGGTCAAGGAAGCAATGTCTTCATTCAGGAACTCAGAGGAGAGGGGGAACTAGGGAGGAAATCATAAATTTTTCCTAGAAGACAGAAACTGAAATTCATAGTCCTGCAAAGAGAACAGTGCATAGGTATGTTGCATGCCTCCTGCAAGGACCTCAAATCCTCAAATCCCAAACACAGTTACAGAGCCAGGCAGCGGAGATGCAGACAACATTTCTACTGTCTGGCCTAAAGCAGTAAGACCAATTGACATGCCAGATGTTCCTTCCAAAACCCAAAGGAAGGTAGTTTGTCTTCAAGAGGGAAAAGGAATTTGAGTCTATGGTTTTATTTCCTCCTAGTTCATTGAAAAGAAGGTTTGTCTTCCTTGTTTAAAATACCTCCATCTGGAACAGAAGAGTGCTAACAGTAATGGGAAGCCTGCTTTGTCTCTTGCATTACAAATCATAGCAGTAGCGGTAGTAGTAGTATCAGTAGGAGTAGTGGTGGTGGAACAGTGGAAGTAGTAACAGGGGTAGTAGTGGTGGTGGTGGTAGCGATGGTGTTTGTAGTGGTAGCAGAGGTAGTGGTAGTAGTAGAAGCAATATTGTATGCCTGACATTTTGCCTGTATGATTTTATTTAAATCTTCATAACAACCCTGTCAGGTAGGTAGTATTACAAAGAGGGACACTAAAGCTCAGAGAAAGTAATTGGCTCAGAGTGACATAGTTAGTAAGAACTGGAAATTGGATTCCAACCAGGAACTCTGAAATACCTTCTTTCTACTGTAACATACCAGAAAATTAAGATGCTACCAGCCCCACTTATATTTATCAAAAGTCTGATGATTATGGGTTAATTCAGCCCTTGTTTTGCATCCATACATGGCATGAAGTTGGTTCTAGAATTGTCTACAAGAGTCCAATTACATTCAACAAACTCAGGATGCTTTTTATATATTTTTTAACTCAATCTCTTCTTGTATCAATAGTGAGACTCTTAAAATATTTTCTCTTCACTTCACTGAAGATCCACTTCACTTTCCAGGAGATATGATTCTTCTGCCTGGATAATGTACCAGCCAACATTCCCTGCATTGGCTATCATCAAGTGGGAGATTTACCCTGGTCTTCCTCTGCTAGAACACTGTTTGCTTTTGAGCAGAATTTGATATAAGATCAGTTCACTGTAAACCTATGCAAGCATGTTTAGTTAGAAAAGGATGAAGAGAAATTCTTTTCTTAGCTTTTATAGAGTAATTTGTTGTTTTATGTTTCCCAGTGATGAAACTGACTAAGTGAGTTAAAGGATATTATATAGCAGAGACATTTCTGCCATGGCCTGGGTATTGTCAACCTGTCTGCAGGTCCAGGGAAGCGCCCCCTCTGCTGAATCAAAAAAGAAAATTGTCTGGGGATCAGGAGAAAGGATTCTCCAAAAAGCCAGTGTGTCGTGTGTTTGGTGTTTTTTTTTTTTTGAGACAGAGTTTCACTCTTGTTGCCCAAGCTGGAGTGCAATGGTGTGATCTCAGCTCACTGCAACCTCCGCCTTCCAGGTTCAAGCGATTCTCCTGCCTCAGCCTCCTGAGTAGCTGGGATTACAGGTGTGTGCTACCATGCTGAGCTAATGTTTTGTATTTTTAGTAGAAACGGGGTTTCACCATGTTAGCCAGGTTGGTCTCGAACTCCTGACCTCAGGTGATCTGCCCACCTCGGCCTCCCAAAGTGCTGTTTGAAGGTTTTTACAATAAAAATGAATTAATGTAATACTTGTGTAGTTAAAATTTTAGCTAAGCTGGCAAATAGCTGTATGCTATTCAAGAAATGAAGTGTTAGGGAAGGAAGGGGCACATATGACCAAATCTAAGTCATCAACCATGGATTTGCTTTGGAGTGAATCAGATTGGCTGCTTCTGTGGATTTGCAGGGGGAGATGGGGTACTCCCAGAGCCCTTTCCCCTCCAATACCACCAACCCAAGGCTCCCTCCTTTTCCTGCGGTTCATGAGGCAGGTAGAAGATGTGCCCTACCGACCCAAAGACTTCTCTCAAGACATGCCCAAGAGTCCTGCCATCTCTTCCACAGCTGCCTACATGCTTGTCAGGGTGTGACATATGGTATCCTATCTGGAGACCACAGGTAGGACAGCTAGCCAGGACACAGAGAATCTATTCTTGGTCTGGGCTTGAGCCTGATTCAGGAATAGACTCTGAGAGCAAAGTCCTCAGGATTTCTCCCCTCGTGACCGGGAAGGATCATGCAGCTGGTGTGCTCCCTGGCACCGTCCTTGTAACTGTGGGGAAGATATATTTAGCATCTGGCCTGTGAGAGAGCTGTCATTACAATCTCACTATGTGGCTGCCTCAGTAACTCCAGGGCACTGGTCACAACCTAATCCTGTCTATTTTTACATGCTGAGGTTTGTAGAGTGGTGATAAGAGTTATCTGTCTGACGCAAGACAGAATCAGATAGGTCTGCCCTGGTGATGGATGGCCTTGAACTTCTGATATGTGATAAGTCACACCACTGCCCACTCCCATCCCAGATGGCTGCAGTGTGGCTGGAGGTTCACCTAGCTTGTAGGAACAGGGCTGTTCTACATGAATGCCAGATACCTTGTAGGGTAAGACCATGAAAGGGGCTTTTTACATAGCCCCTAAAGGAAAGAAGCCAGGGTTCAGATGAACTCTTGCCCCAAGAGGCACCATTTCTTGAACAACCACAGTAAACCTCATTAATCAATCTCAGTACTCTTTTTCACTGAGTCCTCAGAATTATCCATGAGAGACCATCCCTGGAAGCCTCTACCAATCAATGCTAGTTGCTCCTTATGATGAAAATGATGAGCTAACTTTGGGCTGGAGGGACTGAGAAAGTCATTAGTGAAGATTTGATTGGGGCAAAGGGTGAGATGGTGCCAAGTTTAGAAGGTGGTGAGATTTGATTGGGGCAAAGGGTGAGATGGTGCCAAGTTTAGAAGGTGGTGAGAAGGTAAGAGGGCCTGGGTGCCTCACGATGGCAGGAAGGAATCAATGAGGGATAAATGCTATGATTTAGACACTAACAAGATTTGGCGAGACATCAAGTATAAGACAGAGTTAGAAGGACAGCTTCTCTTATCATGTGACCCTGGATAAATCCCTTCACTACTCTGTCCCTCAGATGTCCTACCTGTAAAAAGAGCAACCATTTCTAGTGTTGACACTTTACAATTCACGTTATTTACTATAGCATGGAATTCAGTGACTGCTGACTGGAGCATCCCATAGTTTTCTTTTCAGGGTCATGTGGAAGAGACTACTAGTAGCTTCCCAATATCCTTTCCTCCTTCATTGGTAAAAGAACTCCAGCTTTTAGCTGAACAACTATAACTCAGTAAAAGACTAAATTTCCCAGATTTCCAACAATATAACTGTTTTATCCAATGAGATATAAGAGGAAGCCTCAAGTCAGGTGTGGTGGCTCACGCCTGTAATCCCAGCACTCTGGGAGGCCAAGGAGGGCAGATCACCTGAGGTCAGGAGTTCAAGACCAGCCTTGAAACCCCATCTCTACTAAAAACACAAAAATTAGCTAGGTGTGGTGGGGGCACCTGTAATCCCAAATACTCGGGACTCTGAGACAGGAGAATCGCTTGAACCTGGGAGATGGAGGTTGCAGTGAGGTGAGATCACGCCATTGCACTCCAGCCTGGGCAACAGAGCGAGACTCCATCTCAAAAAACAAAAAAGAAGAAGAAAAAGAAGAAGTCTAATACAGAACTTTGGGGAACTCTCC